GATACATGTTCTAGTTCTACCAGACCTTTGTGGAGGTGGAAGGACACAGGGCATTAAGGATGGAGATGTGCAATAGATTTAAATGGTGACATACAAGTATTCCCTCCCCGCCCTCTTTTGCTGAACAAAGCTGTGCAGAATGACTGGTTTTCAGAGGGCTTCCAGCTGTGACTCCATTTTACATGTGGAGTTGCTTTTTCCCATGTTTTTCCCATGTTCTCCATATTATGGAGTGGTGAAAAAATGCATTTTCGTCAGCTGTTTTTGCCCCTCGTCACTGAGCTCGATAAAATCTGCAAGATTGAACAGTGAGATTTATGCTGGAGTATTCTGCTTTAATTATTTTGCTTTCTTTATCCTTAAAAATAGTCACTTTACTCTTCACCTCCTTCTTTTCCAAGTGGCAGCAGGAATTCTTTCTGGGGACTAATGATACCATACAGGTTATCTATTGAAGTTGTGAGGTTGTACTTTACCTTCCAGAAAGCTCAGAATCCAGTTAGATAAATGAGTTAACTGTTTTAGTAGGCAATGCAGTTACATTGCATGGACTGAAGTTCTGCAGTGAAGTAGGAAGGGCTGACTGAGGATGAGGCAGAATTTGTCTGCCTTACAGAACTTTACTGAACTGTGTCAGGGATCACAGAGGAGAAAAGCTCTTGGTTTTGAACAAGCTTGGGACTAAAACTACTGCTGTGGAAAACATCTGAAACAGTGATCACAGACACTTTGGTTCAAAGCCTTGTAGGAGGTGGGGGAAAAAGCCAAATTCACTATGGTAGTGTTTTATCTCCAAAAAGAACTACACATAGAGGGAGACGTGATTAAAAGGCAATTAAAAAGAACACTTTGGGATTTTGTTCTTAAGAAACTTCATGGCATCATTTAAGTTGGAAAAGACCTAGGAGATCATCAAGTCCTTCTGTTTCAAGGCAGTAAGAAGAATAAATAATACTCATTAAAACAGAAGATGAAGGAAAGGCAGTGAGGACTCAGGACAGCAGAGAAAGCTATTTTTAGATAAGAGAATATTTTTTAAAAGGTATCATAATGTGCAAGTATTCAATGCCCAAAATGTTATAAGGGAGGCCAAAAATAATTCTGCAAAAACGTTCAAGACGGGAAAACCAATTATGAGTCTTTTTTCAAACCCTTTGGAAGCAGGAACTGTTCCAGAGAGTTGACAGCCAGTGGGAAAGCGAGGTAGGAAAGGTGGAGTCTGAGAGGACGAGGCCCAGCAGAAAATCCAAAGAGAGTCTGTATATCCTTGTTACCTGTGGAACAGCTCCGGAAGGATGTTCACAGGGAACCTTGCAGGGAACATGTGTGAGACTGAAGTGTTAATTAAAGGTGCTCTAGAGGAAACAGAGACAATGACTGGTACGGTGTCACTAAAATGGAATTGTTTTTTTAGCTCACTGTGGATTGGTTTCATTAATGTTTGGTCTCACGCTTGTTCTCTGTGCCTCAGATACAACAACTCCCCTAAGGGTCAGGTTTCATAGCACTGAGAGCACTGATTAGTTTTATCCTGTATAATTCCTGGATTGACATTTTCTTTTTTTTTTTTTTTGCCAAGTTTTATGAATGCTTAATGTATTACTTTGTTTGAAAAGATATATAAGATAAGGTGCCAGTTTCACCTTGTGTTTTGTTTGGTTATTTGGTTTTTTGTTTAAATCCTTTTATTTTCCATCATAATCCTCTACAAGAACTCTTTGTATTCCATTGAGGTGCCTGTAATAGTTTATTTACCTGGTGGCCTGAAAAGTTTCGTTGCCATTTTCCAGTTTATCTGGGTTCCTTTGTTTTCTTAATCTTCACAGAGATTATTTTTTCAGAGACACTGATCAAAGATTCACTATCAAGATGGAAACTGTTTATGAAAAGTTCCTCTGTGGAGAAATTAATCTGACATTGGTTAAATTGCTTTTTTTGAAGGACTGGCACTTCATTGTCACCTGTTTACTTCTTGCATTTCCTTTAGCCTGCAAATACCAGTCATTTGTTAATTAATCCCATCAGAGTTTGCAGGGTTTTTGTATTTATGGAGGAATTGACTTCATGTTTTAAAGTGAGTAAAACAGAAAATGCATTTTAAGTCTTTCTGTCTTTCTTTCTCCTCAACTGAGGGGATTTTTAGCTCCAGTAAGACTCATCTTGTCAGACTGCAGAGATGTTTTGAAGACTGAAAAACAGATTAGATAAGTTGGCTTCCTCTGTGGTCAGGGCACACAGTGATGGTAATTGCTTGGACAGATTGCAAACAATTCAAAATACAACTCTGCAGTTACTGTGCCTTTTTGTCCTGGATTTGCTCTTCAATATCTCCATATCTATATATTTTTTCCTAGGTTGGTATTATTCCCTTCTGTGTTGCTTCTCCAGATTCTTCTCAGATCCATTAGTGGTGATACCAGTTTCCTTTTGAGAATTGCACCATAGCATCAATGAAAAAATGCTTTTGACTCTAAAATGTCCTTTCAATGAACCTCATGTAATTAAGTTGGATTTTTTTTAATTTTTATTTTCGTAATAATTTTGAAACAGCCACTTACTGAACTTGGTGCAGAACCAAAAGCATCTCAGATCTCTGTCATCTGACCATATGGATGGTGGCTGTTACTTTCCCAGATGAATGAATTTTGAGGATTCTCAGTGGAACTGTACAGCCTGTATCCGTGTGTGTCTCCTGGTTCAAAAAGTACAGTTGTAGAGTGATGGATATTTTAAGGATCAAGCACTGTTCCTCAGACCTCTTTATGTAAGCGACAGAAAAATCCCACATTTAAATTCTACTTCTCTTACTGGCATATGGATTTTTCCGAATTTTAGGGGTCAGCCAGGTTTTTTTCCCCTGTGGAGTTGAGACAAAACCAAGCAAGTTGAGCGACTCCTGTGTGTTTGTCTCATACCCTGTTGCTCTCTCCTTCCCGAGAGCAGAGATTTATATCTGGAAAGCCAAATATTTTCCCTCTACCATTTCCTAGTGTGCTTTCCCAAGACAAGTGCTGTCCTGCTTCTGGTACAAATGGGCAGTTTCTAATCCAGATTTCTTTGAAGTCCATGGGTGTCCTGAGCATCCTCTTCCAGGCTCAGCAGAGGGGATGTTTGAACAGCTTTCTGAGGGTACCAGGCTTCCCATCAGCTCTACAAAGTTGCTGTACTTCCCTCAGCTCTTTAAAATTCATGTGCTCCCAGCTCCTTAATGACTGTTTTTTCTCTGCTCTCTCTGTGTTTGTGGTTCTTTCACCTTCAGTCAATAATAGGAAATCCTGTGCCTGTAGTACCCAGATGTCAGTCATTACGCTAAAGTCTTCCTTCAAATGAGTTGTTTTCAAAGGAGAAGAAAATGATTCTTTATAAATATATTTAACGAAATCTCGCTGCTCATTGAGTTTTTGCAGGTTTGCCTGGGGGTGGGAATAAAAACATGATCAGTTTAAGCATGGCATCACTTCTTTTTTCAGCAGTACTGTAAAAAGCGTATTAAGGTTTTCATTACAGTCTTTCCGTTTTCAGAGGTTTATATCACCTGCTAATTTACTCATTATATTGGAACATTATATGGAAGGTCCATGTTGAACTAATCAGATTTCATTTGCAGAAAAATCCTTCCCAAACAGCCTTTCTGCCTGCTCAGGAAGGCAGGGGGTTTGCAAAAATTGTGCTAAGATTTCCAGACCCTTTTGTTCAGAGGGAAGGAAATGCCAGATTGGGTTCTCCATATCATGATTTAAGAGCTCCCTTGTCTTCTGTTCCCGTGTTTCATCCCATCCCACATCTTTTGCCATATGAGAAGATGATCAGGGATCTGGAGCCCCTCTGCTGTGGAGACAGTCTGGGAAAGTTAGGAGTGTTCAGTGTGGAGAAGAAAAGGCTCTGGGAAGCCCCTTCCAGTGGCTAAAAGGTCTCCAAGAGAGCTGGAAAGACACTTTGGACAAGGGCCTGGAGTGACAGGACAAGGGAGAATAGCTTCACACTGCCAGAGGGAAGGGTTAGATGGGTTATTGGGAAGAAATTCTTCCCTGTGAGGGCATTGATGCCCTGGCACAGGTTGCCCAGAGAAGCTGTGGCTGCTCCATCCCTGGAAGTGTCCAAGGCCAGGTTGGACAGGGCTTTGGGCAACCTGGGCTAGTGGAAGGTGTCTCTGCCCATGGCAGGGAGTTGGAACTGGATGATCTTTAAAGTCCCTTCCAATCCAAACCAGTCTGTGATTCTGTGAACATTATGTCAGCACTTCCAGATTGAATTTCTATTTAAAAAAAAAAAAAGAAAGGGGGAAACGAGAACTTAACCTTGTTGTTGTTATGCACACGAGGGTAGTGATGGTTTTGATGATAGTTTTTAGGGTTCTGTGAAGGGGAAGGGGAGGCTGGGTTTCATATATTTTAGTACCTTTGATTTTGAATCTCGGGCAAAGATCCCACTCTGTTTGTGCCAAGTGCTGTGTAAATACCTGGCAAAACCAAACTCAGCCTCTCAGTTCCAAATGAAAGCTGGATTTAGACAGATGGAGAGTACAAACACAGGCTGAGTGAGAATCAATCACCAAAGTAAGGCTTGGAGACAGGAATCCATTCCAGTCCCAACCACTTGAGTTTCCTCACATGGTGCAGCCAGAGGAGGTTGAATGAAAGCACCGAGGAACCAGATCTTTGCAAGAGTTTCCTTGCAGGTGTCCAGTGCAGCTTTTGAGAAAGTGCAACATTACCTGTGTAACAATTTAGTCAGCTGCTTTATGGGATGTTTAAAGCTGAAGTCAATGTCCTGTTGCAAAAAGCTTATTTTCAGTAATTCTTTAGCTCCAGGGCTCAGTCAAGCAGCTGCTGTTGTTTCTCACTCTGCCAGCTCCTGAGCTGTGCTCTATTGTTTGTGCACAGCCGATCTATTCTAAATTAACTTTCATTTTAAAAATACTTATTTCAAAACTGTTTTTTTTCCTTTTTGTTTCATCGGTTCATTGTGCACCTGAACAAGTACTTGTGTGAGCAGAACTCGGAGCAGGGCACGGGGATGGGAAGAAGGGGTGAGGAACAGGTGGGTGCTGCTGAAACCTTCGGTGCTGCAGGAGGAAAGGCTCATTAAACTGCAGCCCAGTAGGTGTGTGAGTGAAGTTTTGAAAAGCTTTCAAAGTGAAGGTGAGCAGTGTGATGCAGAGAGGTGATTCAGTTAGTGGAAGAAGTTTGAGAAAGCACTGACTTCACAAAAACCTGAAGTATCTTTGTAATAGTTTTCTGAGTGCATGTGATGGAATAAGATTGCTGCTAGCAGAGAGCACAGACAGCGAGGAACAGGAGGATAACATCAAGAAGAGGAGGGGAGGAAGTATAGCTTTGGGCATATGGATGAATCAGAATGTCATAAGAGTAATATCTGGAAGATATAGGTGTAGGTTGGATTGGACAACAAAAGAGGAAACCCAAAAATAGCACCTGTATAATAGGAGAGAGAGAGAATAATTTCATTTGGACTGTGGGTGTGATTATCCAGGCACAAGGTAGAGAAGCCACATGACTTCCTTCTGTACCTCTCGAGTTTCTTGGTAACAGAAATGCTCTCAAATCTTGAGTATCCAACCTGAATGCAGCATGGCAGTTCTGTGGTTTTTCATATGACCTTTCAAACCTTTCAGTCATTCCTTTCCACTCTCTTTAGAAGTAGCTTGGTTTCCTTTCTTGATACTTTTTCTTTTTTTTCCCTTTTTTTTTGTATTGCAGCAGTTTTCCTGAATGATCCGAATTTACCAAATCATTCACATTTTGTGGCCGAACTATTTTCAGTGTTCTCTTTATCTTTGTGGTGTTTGCAGCTTTTATCACTTCGCCTGTTATATCTTTCCTTTTTTTTTTTTATTTTTTTATTCTTCCTTCTGTAGAAAATGTAAGATACCTGGGAAAATACTTTATTTCAGGTAATGGATTGCCAGCCTAAACAGGCTGAAAAACTTTTCTTCTGCCTGAGAAATCTTAGCAACATCTAAGCTGATTCTCTTGAGGCAGGTAGATAATTGATTGTGGCAGGAAGACGTTTGTTCTGGAAAAGACTTGTAGGAGGTAGTTAAAGCATTTGATTTGATCAATACTCCTTAGCCCTGGTGAAAGAAAGGTAAAGTAGGAAAACATCCTTTTGAGGGGTTATTTTGGTCACCTGGATATTGATGTCTTTGCCAGTAGTTCCACATAAAACTTGGGTGTGCAGATATTCTTAAATCTTAAATCTTCTGGTTCTGTAGCAGTGAACATTTATTGCCTTGGGAGGGGCAAAGTTTACATGAATATACTCTATATTGATACTTTGGAGCAAGTGAAAATTTCGTTACTTGATAGTTTTCTAGAAGTTACCTGCAAGGCTAAGCATGCTTTCTGCAGGAAGGCTGAAGTCATAATTAAGTCAACATTTGAATGGAGATGTAACTGATAATTTCAATAATTTAGGTTGGTTGTTTATTGCTGAATTCATGGTGTTAGTCAAAAGCTGGAGAAAAATATGAATCATCGTCAGATGTATTAGTTTTTGCCCTCATGCATGCTTTTGAAGGACCTCTAAATTATACATGTAAGTTGGCACAGAAAATCATCAGGTGGAACATATTACATTAATTTTTGATATTAACCCCCCCCAGCCCCACCCACTAAATCTGGGATGACCTAAGTATAATTCTGTGGAAGATTTCATGCAGAACATGCTTGTGTGATGGGAACTTAGGTTCATTGAAGAAATTTGTCAGAGTTAAAAGAATTTAAATGTTAAGGATGAAAATGCCTCTGTAGTCAAATTTGCTTTTTAGAAAAATGATTGGATTTTAGAACCATTATACAAATTAGCAAATTTACAAATTAGCAAGTTTAAGAGAGTTAATTTTCCATTTCTAGGATAAGATAAGCATAGTGAAGCTCTTCCATGGTGAAATTGTGGTATTAAAAACTATTCACAAATACCTCTAAAGTCAGCAGAGCGTGCTCATGATTTACAGAAAATAAGCAAATGACCAATAAACCACGGAGACCATTTGTGTAATATTGCTGTAAACGTCTTTCATTGTAAAAAAAATAAATATTTATTGAGTTGAAAAGAACTCCTGATTTGCCTAAATGCTGAATTTTCTGTCGGTACAGCAAACTTCTTTATGTGACATGAAGATCTTAAATGATTAAGAAGTCTCATCTGAGACCTGCAAAGGCAAAGCTGGAATAAAAAGATAGTTGCTGTTAGAGACAGAGGGATTTCTTCTTTTCCTTCATAGAATCATAGAACTGTTGAGGTTGGGAAAAACCTCAAAGATCACTGAGCCCAACTGTGGATTTGATGGCAAATTCATGGCAAATTTAACTGTGGGGTTGACGAAGGAAAATCCTGGGCCTATTATTAGGTACAAGAAATAATTGTATCAGATGTATTAAATATTTTAATTTGGAATTGGAAAAAAAAAGTGGTGATTTCATTTTTTTCCCCCTCCTTCTAATTATAATAGATCCCTCTAAGCATTTAGAGTAATAGCATTTAATGTAACCAGGAATTCAAACCAGCAAGTTCATTAGATAAGTTCCAGTTCAGTGGCGTCTGAAATTTAGTCCCATTTCTTCCTCCACCAGTTTTGTTCTGACTCAGGTTAATAACAGTTTGTTAATTTGCACACACCAGAAAGTGTAAAATTAAAAAATTGGGACCTGCAATGTGCAGTTCACCTGTTTAGTCTCTGTATGTTGCTCCCATAATTCGGGCACCCTGTCCAGGGTCCCTCTCCAGCTCCCTTGGAGCTCCTTTAGGCACTGGAAGGGGGTCTAAGGTCTCCCTGAAGCCTTCTCTTCTCCAGGCTGAACAACTCCAAATTTCCCAGCCTGTCTTCAGAGCAGAGGGGTAGTTCTGCAGCAAGAAAAACAAATGGCTTACAAAGTTTTTTTTGGTTGGATTTTTTTTTTGATTGGGGTTAAGTTTTGGGCTATAGACATTTTTTTAACCTTTAGGATTTTTAGTTGTGTTAAATTTTGTTATTTGACTGTGGATATGAAGCTGATGTTCTTGGAAAATGTAGATCAGGAATCTGTAAGTGATATCACAAATTCATTTTTCTAAGAGAAATAGATGATAATCACACTCTTTTTTAAAGTGATATCACCATTTCTGTCTAAAACAGAGAAAAATATGTATTTTCATGAGACAGCTTTTCTGAGTAATTTGCTTAATCTGCTCCTTTTTTGGTGTGTGTATAATTATTATCATATGATTGCCAGCATTATTTAATTTCTGTAATTATCAGTGTTAAAATTAAAAGCCTTGCTTTTCTGTCAGGCATTTTAACCAATTTCTCCTCTGACAGATTTCCCTTTCTTCCTTTAGTCTGTTGATTGAAAAGGTTGGCAGATCTGTAGAATATGGAGTTTATAGATGCATAGTGATTTTCATATATTAAGGAAAAAAAAAAATCATCACTCTTTCAGTTCTGATTATTCCTGTATTATTCCAGAGTTTCAGAAATGGGATATTGGGCAGAGTGTCCATGGTTTATGTTACTGTGTGCCATATGGTGGGTTTAGATGCTCTGGAGTGCAGCCTGGCACTGCAGGAGAACCTGCTCCAGAAATCCATACTCTCTTCCAACACGCATTTTTTTAATGGGGATTTGTCATTTCTGCTGTGTATAAATGTAGATGTTTTATTATGAGGTTTTTTTGTTTTTTTTTTTTTTTAAACTGGGAGGTGTGAAAAATGGGAGTTTGGAAAAATCAAATGTACCTCCTTGTTTATTAAGAGATGCTGAGTTGACCATCCCTATTCCCATAAGTGAAGGTGCTTAGGTAAGGGGAGTTGGTTGAAGAATCTTTCTTGGAATCAAAAGTTACATTTGTACCCACGTTTGTACCTCATGTCCAACTCAGTTTTCAGATCCCAGATATGCTTTCCTCCCCTAAAATGAATCTACTGACCTGTGAAAAGCTTCCCAAAGAGCATCTTCCCCACCCCCAGGATTTTCGGACATACAGATTTTTCTCCTTCCACCTTTGGAGTTATTGAATCTCTCACTATCGAAATTTAGATTGATAGGTCCCTTTCTCCTTTCCTCAGGTTCTGCTTTAGGAATTCTCTGAATCATTCCTGTTAAAATCTGTCTCCTCCTTGCTCTCTGAGGCAGCAGGAGCAGGGCAGGGACTGTCCCCCTGCGCTGGGCACTGAGGAGGCCTTGCCTCGAGTGCTGTGTCCAATTCTGGGCCCCTCAGTTTTGGGAGGGTATTTTGGTGCTGGAGCACACCCAGGGAAGAGAATGGAGCTGGGGAAGGGTCTGGAGCAGCAGGAGTAGATGAGGGAGCTGGGGGGGCTCAGCCTGGAGAAAAGGAGGCTCAGGGGGGACCTTCTGACTCTGCAACTCCCTGACAGGAGGGGGGAGCCGGGGGGGTCATCGGGCTCTGCTCCCAGGGAACAAGGGCCAGGAGGAGAGGGAACGGCCTCAAGTTGTGCCAGGGGAGGTTTAGGTTGGATATTGGGAAAATTTCTTCACATGTCAGGCATTGGAACGGGCTGCCCAGGGCAGTGTTGGAGTCCCCATCCCTGGAGGGATTTAAAAGCCATGTGGATGTGGCACTTGGGGACATGGGTCAGTGGTGGCCTTGGCAGTGCTGGAGGAATGGTTGGACTTGATGATCTTAGAGTACTTTTCCAACCCAAATGATTCTGTGATTCCATGATTTTCTCTGCCACAACAAGGGCTGCAGGCAGCCAGGGGGAGTCGGCCTCTGTTCCCAGGGAACAAGGGACTGAACAAGAGGAAACAGCCCCAAGCTGCACCAGGGGAGGTTTAGGTTGGACATCAGGAAAAATTTCTTCACTGAAATGGTTGTTAAGGATTGGAAGGGGCTGCCCAGGGAGGTGCTGGAGTCCCCATCCTTGGAGGTGTTCAAGGAACGACTGAATGTGGCTCTCAGTGCCCTTGTCTTGTTGACAAGTTGGGAATTGCTCACAGGTTGGACGCCATGATCTTGGAAATCTTTTCCAACCTAAATTATTCTGTGATTCTAATGCAAACCAACCACAATCCACACGAG